TTCTTTTTTTGAAAATCTATAAATGAATCTATTACTATAAAATAGCAATAGGGATTTATTTAGGTAGAAAGTAAAATCTTGCCTAAAAAATTGGATTTTATTACAATTGATAACTTTTTTGATATTCTTTGAAAAATTAGCGGTTGATTTTTTTAATTTGAATTTCAAATTAATTTAAAAAATTAAAGAAAATATCATAAGCATATTTTATTGGATATATTCCATTTTATCTTAAACATATAATCACATTCATAACAAACATCAAATTTACTTATATATTTTAAAATTAATTACATCAATAGATAATAAAAATATACATTAAATATTTAACATTATATAAAAATTATTACTTCTATAAATGTTATAAATAATAACGACATTATACGATAATAAATTTTTAAATAGAATAATATATAAGTATTATGATGAACCAAAATATGTAAAATTATTTTTTTTTGTATTACAAAATAAACAAATATATATATGTTAAAATATTATTTATATTAATATAAACGGGTCAGCGGGCTAATATATTGTTATAATAATGTTTTAGAAAAATGTTCTAACGTACGAAACCCCAGTCCAACGCACAGGATTCTCACTATTTATCAAGTATTATAGTAAAATCATTTTTCTTAATTATTAAATTTTTTTGTATTCCACGTAAAAAAACGAAATCTAATACGTCATTTATCATTATTTCAAGTTTGAAGCTGGATGATGCAGACATAAAAATTTAGCTCTTGCAGAGATTGAGACATCGTGGCACAAGTCTTCGGGATTATTCTGTTATGCCTTTTCCAGATATGGGTAGTATTAATTCAAGTGCGAACCGTCTGGTTTTTTATGAACTTAATTATGACCGTAAGGCTCTAGCTATTGAGCATGATGAATTGCTGACACATATGACCAATGAACATAAGGGTGTTTACTCAAAAATAATGACATATGTTGATTCCGGTAGGGGCGGCGTGTTTTTTGTGTATGGTTATGGTGGAACTGGTAAGATATACTTGTGGAGAACTTTAGCTGTTGGGCTAAGATCTCGCGGTCGAATTGTTCTATGTGTTGCATCCAGTGGAATAGCATTTCTCCTATTGTCGGGCGGACGAACTGCACATTCTCGATTTGGCATTCCTCTTTTCTGTGCATGAAAATTCATCCTGTGACATTAATCAGGCTAGCCCCCTTGCAGAGTTGATTATTCGCTCTTCATTGATCATATGTGATGAGGCCGCAATGATGCACAAGCATTTTTTTGAAGCTGTTCAAGCTTCTTTTAAGGCAATAATGGAAGCACTCGACCCGGCAAATCATCATAAACTGTTCGGAGGCAAGACTGTTGTGTTTGGTGGAGACTTTTGGCAAATCCTTTTGTTAGTTCCAAAGGGGAGTCGTCAGAAGATTGTTAATGCTGCTATTAATTCTTCTAGCATTTGGGGAGACTGTACAGTGCTTAGACTTACAAAGAACATGCCTCTTCAGAGCATTGGCGATTCGAATGAACGTGACGAGCTAGCCGCTTTTGCTGATTGGATAGCAAGCATCGGAGATGGAACATTGGGTGGGACAAATGATGGATGTGCTCCAATAGACATACCAGATGATCTATTACTAGAGCCATCCGATGATCCAATTGCAAAAATTGTTGAAAGCACGTATCCGATGTTCAAGAATGCAACCGATGATCTAGGTTATTTGAAAGACAGGGCTATACTCGCGCCACACTGGAGATCGTAGAATCTATAAATCCATACATGTCGTCGTTGAATTTGACTGAAGGACGCACGTATTGAAGCTCAGACAGTACGTGTAAATCTAACTCCAATACCGACTTTCTGGCACAACTCCATACTCCTGAGTTCTTGAATACTATCAAGTGTTCTGGAACACCGAATCATGAGTTGAATTTAAAGGTTAGAACTCCAGTTATGTTGTTGCGGAACATGGATCACTCAATGGAACTCTGCACTGGTACACGATTGGTTGTGACCAAACTCTCCAATCATGTTCTTGAGTGTAAAATTCTTACTGGCGATCATGCAGGTGATAAAGTTTTGATACCTTGAATGACCATAACTCCTTCGGATCTTAGAGTACCATTCAAATTCCAAAGAAGGCAGACCCCATTATGGTTTCATATGCAATGACTATAAACAAGAGTCAAGGTTAATCCTTATCTCATGTTGGCTTATTCTTGAAGAAACCAGTTTTTAGTCATAACCAGTTATATGTCGCTGTGTCCCGTGTTACTAATAGAAAGGGTCTGAAAAATTTTAATTTGTGGAGAAGAAGGTTTGAAAGCAAATCAAACCAATAATGTTGTGTATAGAGAAGTGTTTAATAATATATAATTATTTTCTTTTTTGTACTTTGTATTTCTCTCTCTTTTTTTTTCTATTACAATCAAATTATTAATTTTTAAACAAAAATATTAAATAAAGTTTAGAAAAAAAAAGTTTGAGGAAATAATCCCACCGTACTGCGCACCGGCACTACACTATATTTCCGTATTCTTTGCAGTCCGTGCATCGCACGGGTTACGTACTAGTTACTATATAATACGGAGAAGAAAAATTATTTGAACAATCCGAAAAAAATCATTTCGTTTTCCCGCTTCAATATAATGTTTTTCCCGCTTCTTCAATTCGTAAATTTGTTTTTTGAATTTTTTCAGCCCATGCAATTAGGTAACCAATCAAATCGAATCTTTTAGCATTCAATTTCGTAAGATGTTCCGATTTTAGCATTTAAATCCGATTTCACTTCCTTTATTTATGCCAATCAATCCGATTTTTTTGGTTGTTTCAAAATTTGTTTAGATTTATATTTTTATTTTATTAATATATTTGAAAGAGAATCAATAAATGTTTATCATAACTTTTATTTTAAAAATAAATTAGAATTAGCATACCTTTTACTTCATATGAAATTCAAAATTACATATTTTAATATATTAATAAACGTTTAGTATTTATTTTTTCCTTATGTGATATAATAGAATTTTGGTATTAAATTTGTAAATTCAAACATTTAAAGGAAAAGATTCCAAACAATTTTTTTGGGTAAATTTCATTTTATCTTGGTTTTCATTATCACATTTCTAACAAACTAATTAGTATTATATTTTTTTATCTACATTATCTAACCGATTTTTTATGATACAATTAATATAATATCTTAACAAATTAATCATTTGTCTAACCGGATTTATCTCTCTAACAAACTTGCCAATTTTAAAATTAAAATGGTATGATTATTCTTATGGAGATACTTATCAATATATTAAATATTTAGGAACTTTTTTTAAAAAATGAGTTATCCCTCCTTTTACTTTATTTGAAATTCTGACTTATATTTTTAAATATATTATTATTTATTTTTTTACATGTAAATATTTATTATTTATTATCTAAGTGATAAATATTATTGATTTATCTCTTTAATAAATATTTATTATTTATTTTTTTCCTTACGTGATATAATGTAAATTTGGTTACTAAATTTTTAAATTCAAACATTTAAAGGAAAAGACCACGAACAAATTTTTTACAATCCTTACAATCCTAACTTCCATATAATCACAATCCTAACAAACTAATTAGTATAATATTTTTTTACCCATTTTTATCTAATCGGATTTCTTAAAATATAATTAATATAACATTTTAACTATTTAGTCATTTGTATAACTTGATTTAACTCATTATCAAACTTGCCAATTTTTTTTTGAAATTAAAAAAAATTTGGAAGATTTTTATTTGTAAAATAATAAAAAATAGCTTTACTTTAAAGTCTGGATTATTTCCATTATTTTTTGTACGCTAACAATCATATATTTTGGATTATTGATTTAAAAAAACAAATCAAAACCGTAAGGTTTAATAATATTTCTTAAATAAAAAATATTGTATAAAGAAAAGTATTTAATAATATATATTTTTCATTGATTGTATTGATTTTATTTTCATAATAGACGAGAAGTGAAAAATATATATAATTATATTTAAAATAAAGTCTAAAAAATGTTTAAAATATGAACTCTTCCGTGCATCGCACGGGATATACACTAGTTATAGAAAGAAAGAGAGTATAAAAATGGAATAAAAGTAGAAAGCCGTGAGAGCTTTTTCTAAATGCTTGTATCAGAAAGCTTTTCAAATAAGCTTAAACTTTTTAAATAAGCTCATCGTACTAAACAAGACTTATGTAAATTAAAGGAGTTTGTAAGCTAATTAAATAAGCTATAATCTAGCTGTTTGGTTTACCAAACACATAACCTCAAGTTTTTTAAAAAAAATTCTCTTACCAAACAAAACTTATTTCTAGTTTATTTGTCTACCAAACATAGTATAACTTTAATTCACTATTTATTCACACACATAATTTCAACTATCTTCCAATAGTTTTCTCTAACTTTTACATCACATAAACTTTAATTTTTACATTTTAAATATTATTTAATTACAAACTCAAAATCATCCATTCAATCAACTTTATTGAAAATAACTAACTTTAACCAACCAAATTGGATCATAATCGATTGGATTCATATCCAATCACGCTCTAATTATACTCAGGCAATTATATTACAAAATATAGTAAAAATAAAAACAATATTGTAAAAGAAAAGTCAAAATTATACATTTGGCCGGTTTCTAGATTCGGCTTTTGGCCGGTTACTAGATGTAATTATGTGTTATTTTCTTTTTATAATAGTCTATCGTTCAATATATATATATATATATATATTTCAACATGAAGGTTTTTTCT